GTTCGTAATACAGTCAGTTGATAAAAGAATATGGATCTGCCATATGAAAAAAATAGAAAATTATCAGAGAGAATTTTAGTATTTGAAATGAATGAAGTGAGTGATTGAATTAAGCAGTCTCTAAATTTGTAGGATACGGGCAGACTTCGATTGTACCACCACTCATCTTTTGCATTTGAGCTTGGGGAACTTTGTTTGTCGACAGGTAAGGAAGGGTTTTCGAGAGCTTTTTGTTCATGTGACTTGTTAGTATTTGTGTCAAATTGTATCTACATCCATTAGGCTTTATTAAACCTGTTGCTGACCGGCCACGCGACTCCTCAAGTCTTCAATGGTACATCACTAAACGATGAGCAACACAAAGCACTCACCCAGCCTCTCCACGGGGTTCTGACTCGCAGTCATGTCGGATATCTGCTCTGGAACAGAGAACAAGTCAACCATGCACAGCTCCCCCTGGTACAGCACCCATCCTACGGGTTTGGTCTTTCTCTTTGTCACTTTCTCTCTAAACTTACCATTAGGTTAACTGTAGGCAACATATGAATAAACGCTGTAAAAACGACAAGATACCTGAGATTACCATATTGATCAAACCCTTTAGAGCAGGGGTGTCAAACTCAATTCCTGGAGGGCCGGAGCTCTGTAGAGTTTAGATTCAACCCTAATTAAACACACCTGATCCAACTAATCAAGCCCTTCAGGTTTATTTGAAAACTTCATGGTATGTGTGTTGGAACAAAACTCTGCAGGGCTCTGTCCCTCCAGGAATTGAGTTTGACACCCTTGCTTTAGAGGATCTCTAGGCAAAAAAAAAATCACAAAAGAAAAAGAGGTATTTCTCTGAGGAATTTATTGTAAAAAAAAAAATGGAGCCCTCGAAGTTCCTTCAGTGCACAATAAAGACATTTTGCTATACGCATTCTTACAAGTTATGAGCCTGTAAACTATAAACTTCTTGTTCTCAGTCTCCCAAGTGCAAGCTCACAAATAAAAGAAGTGCGCTTTAGGTGTGCTTTTTTTGAAGAATACTTTTGGAAATAATATAATGCATGTAATGTTTTCAGACACTTGGTTGAATGTAAATTGCAATTAAATGAAAATATATTACAGTTCAACAGTTATTATCTGAAATTGAGTGCTTTTGACTCACATACACTCTTAAAAATAAAGGTGCTTCACGATGCCATAGAAGAACCTTTTTGTCTAAATGGTTCCATAAAGAACCTTTAACATCTGAAGAACCTTTCTGTTTCACAAAAGGTTCTTTGTGGCGAAAGAAGGTTCTTCAGATTATAAAAAGGTAAGAAAGAGATGGTTCTTTAAAGAACCTTTGACTGAATGCTTCTTTGTGGAACCAAAAATGGTTCTTCTATGGCATCGCTTGAAGAACCTTTTGAAGCACCTTTATTTTTAAGAGTGTAAGTATTTTTTTTTCTTTTCTTTTTCATAAAGGAAATAAATAATCAATGATAAAACACACACACACACACACACACACATAAAGAATTACAATTATTAAGTTTAGAAAAATATTGATCTAATATATGACTTTAAACCAGCAAGTAAACTTCTTGGATATATGTGAGTGTACAAATATTAATCATAATTTTCAAAAAAAACTTTGTAAAATATTTTTTAAAGGTATAGTTTTTTTTTTCAAATATCTGAAATTATGTATTCACACGTCACACCACACCAACTGACATATTACAGCCTTATTAAATATTACATTTACTATCATTTCCTTGTTATAAAAATGTCAAACAGCATTACTGACCTTTGACACACGGTCATGAGGGGTCCTTTCTGTGATATCATTTCCCGTTTTGTTGTTTTCTGCATGTTGCTTGCACCACAATGGTTCATGTTATCTGTTCTAAGCTAATACCCAGAGTGTATTGATGTTTTTCTGGTTTCATTTTGTATGACTTTACTTAAAGAGTGCTGCTTTATCTGCTCCCACAGGCATGGGTTCTTAGTTCCTGTATTACTGCAATGTAATCTATTATATTTGTTGCATCCATGTTGAGTTGAACACTTTTCTCCTAAGGTGGGCAGCATGCTGAAAACACCCAAGCTGCCTATCTGGGTGTGCAACATCAATGGCACCTACAGTGTTTTATTCAGCCCAAACCGTTCATTGCTCTCTGACTGGAAAATGGAGCATCTTTTCCAGCTTTACTTCTACAATGGCCATCCAACTCAGCTCAACACAATGCTCACCATAGGTACAGTCATTAGCTGCTGCCCATGCATCTTGCTCATTGATGCCACCTGCCTGTGTTAACCAAAAATTTAAGATGTATTTATTGTATTGCTCTTTTGTATTTTAGATACACACTCCCATCACTGGGAGGCTGAAAATAATGACATTCAAGGAGACCCAGAAAAAAAGTTTCCATCTGTAGAGATGACCATTAGGACCAAGTGGGAGGGAGCTGTTATTGACTGGAATGGGACAGTGCCTTTTTTCTGAAGAGGTTTGAAGCAGGGTCACCTGATTTGTAGCATACATCTCCTGGCCTGCAATAAAGAGTATTTTATAGACTTTTATAGGTTTTGATGTGGGCTTAATTTTTGACTTTCATTTTGGCTTGTGAATCTTAATAACATGATTACCCTTCACAACCTGCTCATTTGAACATCTCAGCATCTGAGCATTTATCATAAGTGAAAACCTTAAACCTCTTTTGTAAAACAACGTATTTTGATTGTTAGAAATATATTCAAATCTGGTACACATGTCCCATATGTTTAACTATTTTCGGGCATATATAATTTAGCCCCTATACTGTTTTTGTCCGTCTATTTGGATTCGATATGGGTTCAGATTGCTAGTATCAAGTCTCAAGTCATGATGGAAAAGGCTGATATCTCAAGTTACAGGGTTTAATCAATTTAAGTCAAGACCTTTATTCAAAGCCTTGCGGTCTTTGATTCCTCTGTGGTATAAATCATGTATGTAGTATTTTATTTATTGCTGTATGACAGTATTGTTAAAGAAAGGCAAAACTTTACAATAAGGTCCAGTAAGTTAAAGTTTATTAGTTTAGATTCATGTTAGTTAACAAATGTGCTATTATTCATTCTTAATTTGTTAGTTCATAATTAACTGACATAATAACTAACTACCGTGAAGTGTTATAAATATTAGTATATGTAAAAATTAAAATAAACTTAGTTTAATATATTGTTCATGGTTATTTAATTGTTACTAACTAAAGTTAACATAGAACTGTGATGTAAAGTATTACCTAAATAAATAATAACTATAATAAAAAAAATACTTATTTTTTATTGTTTATAGATTGAACTCATGATTGTGACATTTGGTTTGCTTGTGAGAATAGGCAAACAAATAACGGTAAAGTTATATTTTTATAGTTCATAGTTAAAAATCATCTTGTAAATTCAGTGAGCTATGGACTACAGGGTTATTGAAGTAAGACTGATAAAGTACTGAAGATCTGCAGTATTAAGAGCTTTACATGTAGCAATAGTTTAACTGTTCAGGAATCTAACTGGTGTTCAGTGTAGAAATTATGGATTACTGCTGATGAGCAGATTCTCTGAATCTGGTAAAAACAACAGAGGACCTAAGACAGAGCCTTGTGGCACTTCACTTCCATTTGACCTGTAATATAAGAAACAAATTGTCAAAATGTGCTGTAAAGGTTCTTCTTTGATATAGTTTATTATCAAAGGCTAAATTGACATAATAGGATATACACTTTTATGACGCATAATAGAAAAGAAATAGAAAATATATTTTGTATACTGAGATACAGGTGTATAAATACAATATTACCAATAAGAACTTATAAACTTAACGTGTCTTTCTAAAGAAGATTGACTTTATCAGTTAACAATAGCATCTAACATTCTGAGCATATGTGTATTCCCTTTACAAATTTTCTCTTTTGGATGTGTAATAAAATGATACATAAATGTCTCTTTTTCAATACCCGTTGATATGTAATTTGAGAATAGATAGTCAAAACAGATCTTTTATGTTATGCCACAGTATTTCAGTATTACAACATTTAAGATGTATAACCTTGATCTATAACAGCTAGAACAAAGTATTTATCATAATAAATTGTTTTTTAAGTGCCAATGTCATGCTCAGTGTCTCTATCATGGCAGTCGAATCACAGGCTCTTTTACATTAATCTCTGCACTAATGGATTAGTAACAAAAGCTCTAACAGAAATCTTACAGGATTTTAATGATAACTGGTATGGATTTGGGGGTACTCTGTGGTTGATTTAAAACACTGAAGCCATGAACATGAAACTTTACAACATGTTAGTAGACGATATGAAGAAACAACCCAACAATATAGTAGAACATATAATAAATTTGTTTTCCACACAAATAGAAGGGTAATAAAACATTTTAACAGGCCATTCACATCAGGCTCCTAATACAGTCAGTTCAAACTAAATTCTCATGCTTTGAGTCTGTTTTATGAATGTCCGCCCAGAATTTCCTCCAGGTTGATGTCTTTCATCCAGTCATCATTGCCTGAACCTGATTTAAGCAGGGAGTCGATGAAATCCGAGTCTGCATTTATCCCTGGTACCGTGTTATCATCCTCCGGTAAGAAGTCAAAGGTCAATCGACCTGCCCGGTTGTTCTGATAAGTTGCTGAGCTTTGGCTCAGCTCTCCAAATGTGGTCGGGCAACCTTGCTGTTCTGGGGACGACTGGGTCAGGCAAGTCACCCCAGGTAGAGGGGGTATCCTAGGCTGACTGGCTCTAGGAGCAGGGCTTCTGATTGCAGGGTTTATGGATAACAGGTTAGAATGAGGCGCCACCTGGTTAGGTGGGCAAATAGACCTCTGAGGAAAATGAATGTCACTTTGGGGCATCACTGTATTGGAGAGCCTTTTGACATCTAGTCCTGACAGAGCTCCACTCTGTTTTCCGCTGTTTGTCCAGTTCAAAGCAGTGTCCATCCTGCTGGTATTGGTACTCATGTCACCCAATCTTTGCCCCAGCAGGGAATCTTGACTGATGCTCATCCTCACATGCTGAGTGCTCGATTGAAAAGTGGCACTCTGGTTGTTTGTCCCATGGAACTGAGGCTTGTTTTGCTGAAGCCCCATTCGGATCAGGCTGCTGGGTTGCTGTCGGAGCTGGTTTGTGCAAGCTTGAGAGCCTGTGGGTCCTGAATTAGGGTCTTGTCCAAGTGGAAACCTTCTCTCTCCTGAGGTAGACACCATCTTGGTATTTTGTCCATTGGGTAGGTGGCATGACAAGGGTTGGATTCCACTTTGGTCTGACCCATTGCCTGTTGCATATGCATAAAATTTATCTGTGACGTAAAATATTGATTTACTAAGCAATAACATACTGAAAATGACTAATATCTGAGTCAAGGTTTGGTGTGGTTGCTTAATCAATTAAGTTCAATTAATCGTATTCGTACCACATCATCAGTGTGAGTATAATTCATTTAATTTACTTCATTATGTAGTTCAATCATGACAACTCTCTGAATAGTTTTAGCATGTTAATGGATATGACAATGGTAATGTATTTGGTCTTAGCAGACTAGATCTCCTATGCATGCTGCTGTTGCTAAGCAAGTATGGACTTGCTCTAGACAGGTGGAGCTGGGGGAGGTGGAGGGTTTTAGAGGAATTCTGATAGCATGCTGAAGGAAGAGCTTATAGTGAACACTGCAACAGTCTATTTAAATGTTGAGCAAGCAATCTCATTGGCTGCAGAATCAGCAGAGGCCAATCAGCATGTGTAGTAAATGATGTGATTGCTAACAGATTACATGTGAAGGTCCTATCAGTCTGTGCCATCTAGAGTTTCATGATTGAACTAGATATTTCATTCACATATTATATGACACTGAAAATACAATCCACACCTGAGTATAAGCTTGGCTGTTGAGCGGCAACTCCATTGCGTGGGTGTTTGTAGTCTGGTGGAGGTCGTGTTAGATGACGACTGAACTGATCCTGTGTGCTCAGTTTCTCCTGAAACATTTACAGCAAAAGCACATCATTTAGTAGTTTAGGAATAAAAGTTCCATAGATTACAACTGACCAAATAGTCAGTGGTCACTCAAAGGATTAGACTGCAAATTCAAGCATGTATGTATGTGTGTGTGACATTAAAGATAGTTATAATGTTATTAAAGATTTATATTTCAAATTGAATTCAAAAGTATCATGATTTCCACAAAAATATTGAGCAGCAAAACTGTTTTCAACACTGATAATAATAACAACAACAAAAAATCA